ACTGACAAAGAAACAACAAGAAATACTATTTACCCACAAGCATTAAGAAATTACATATATTAGAAACCAACTTTCTTATTACTTTCTTTTCAAGATCACTAGACTGGATCACAGCAACGCGTGGCAGGGGATGGCTAGTGTGTGTGTGTGTGTATGTATGGCTGGCATGGGCCAACTTCAGCCCTCCATGTGTTTTGGACTTCAATTCCCACAATTCCAAACAGCCAGTAGGAAGTCCTAAATACCTGGAGGGCCAAAATTTGTCCATGCCCCCATAGATAGATAGATAGATAGATAGATAGATAGATAGATAGATAGATAGATAGTGATTGGTTTTGGGGGAGGGGGGGGGGCGCCAAAATACTGTTTGCTTACCATTGAAAATTACCTAGGGCCCCCTGGGGGGGTCGTGAGGGGGTGTCAGAGGGGTCGCCAAAGACCATCAGAAAACACAGTATTTTCTGTTGGTCATGGGGGTTCTGTGTGGGAAGTTTGGTCCAATTCTATCATTGGTGGGGTTCAGAATGCTCTCAGATTGTAAGTGAACTATAAATCTCAGCAACTACAACTCCCAACTGCGAAGGTCTATTTCCCCCAAACTCTACCAGTGTTCACATTCGGGCACATTGAGAATTCGTGCCAAGTTTGGTACAAATCCATCATCCACAGTGCTCCTGGATGTAGGTGAACTCCAAAACGCAAGGTCAATGCCCACCAAACCCTTCCAGTATTTTCTGATGGTCATGGGAGGTCTGTGTGCCAAGTTTGGTTCCATCTTTGGTAGAGTTCAGAATGCTCTTTGACTGTAAGTTAACTATAAATCCCAGCAACTACAACTCACAAATGACAAAATCAATCCCTCCTCCCCAATCTCACCAGTATTCAAATTTGAGTGCATCAGGTATTTGTGCCAAATTTGTTCCAGCGACTGAAAATACATCCTGCATATCAGATCTTTACATTATGTTTCATAACAGTAGCAATGAAAATAATTTTATGGTTGTGGGTCACCACAATATGAGGAACTGTATTAAGGGGTCACAGCATTAGGAAGGTTGAAAAACATTGCACTAGTTGTTTGGCACATTTAGTTTGACTGCTTAGCAAAAGGCTGTCCGATGTGGGAAATCCTACCAGCAACACTACTACCGTGAGCATAGATTTGTACCTCAATGGGACACATAACGTTACCACCACTGAAAGATTGTGCCATTATATGCCATTGCCACAGTACTCTAAATATTTGTTTGAAAAATGAAGCCATTCTAAATTGCAGCATCTCTATTGATCTGTTCTCTGCTTTCTCCAAAATCTCAGAAAATTCTACATAGTACAGTAACATGCATAGCAACAAAAATATAAACAATAACAACTAGCATTGCTCTCATCTTGAATTTAATCACTACCATATAAAATCTAATAAAAGGAACCTCTCACACAGCACAGCAAAACAGCAAGTCTTGACATCTTCTTTCCTTATGTCAGGGAGAGAAGGCAATAAATGGCCACTCTTTCAGAAATAACATTCAAAACCACTTATAGAGTCCTTTAATTTTTTATACTGTAATTTTTATACTGTAATTTTTTATACTGTAACTATTAAATATTGAGCTTTTAGTGAGCAGATCTTCAAGATCACATCCTTGGATCCATAATTCTGTGTTTGTCTGAACTGCCAAGCCTCTATTAGTCTTGTCTACCAATTTTTCCAAATATCTAGGAAACACAAGGAGAGATTACATCTTGCCTGACTTGCTCAAAGGCTTCTGTAAAAAGGAACTGTGGGAGATTCTCTTAGCAACAGTGTGTTACGTGACTACCAGGGCCCTTTTAGTCACCAGCTGGGATCACCAGCTGAGGTTCTCCCATTGCCCCATCCAAGCTGTACATGCAGGTTGAAAGTCCCTTATCCAAAATGCTTGGGACCAGAAGTGTTCTGCAATTCATTTTATTTTATGGAATGCCTCATTTGCACCTAAGTTTATCTTGGAGATGAGACCCAAGTTTAAACACAGAAGTTATGTATGGTTCATATAGAACTTATACACATAACCTGAATATAATTTTATATAATATTTATATGAGGTTTGTGTGCACTGAACCATCGAAAGCAAAGGTGTCATTAGTTCAGTTATTTAAGTGGATAATTTCCGATTTTGGAGTGTTTCCGATTTTGGAATTCTGGACAAAGGATGCGCAACTTTGTATTGTTTTAATTGCTTTTATATGAATTAATATGTATAATTTTATATGGATTAAAATTAATACAAATTGTTTTAATTGCTTTTAACATTCATTACTCTTATTGGCATTGAATGAATGCCTGTTGTGAACCCACCCTGAGTCCCCTTCCAGGGGTGAGAAGGACGGGATAGAAATATGTGAAAGAAATAAATAAACTTGCACCCATGAGAGAAGGACCAAGCAAAATGCATAGCATATGGATGGGGTTCCAGGGCAGAATCACTAGACTGATTCAGATGTCATACAAAACAATACTTCTGAGTTATGAGAATGAGCTTGCTTTCCCCGGCACTCATATGCTTCCTTCCCCCAATAGCTGCAGCTTGTTCAAATCAAGGCAACACAACATCGATGGTTCATATTTTGAGTGGGAGCCTCATTCCTCGGTGGATCTTGATCTTGGACCACAATCTATTATCGCAATGAAGTTAGGATTAACTGTGGATAGTGGAAACTCAAAACCATAGTTTATGAAAATGGTTTATTTTCACTAACCACAGTCAAAATTATCCACAGTTTAGAGTGCAGATGACTAAACCAACTAATGTAAAACATATGGTTCTGATGTCCTCCCAGCCTCTACATGGGAAAACAATGTTTCACAAGACAAACTGGGCTCATTACAAAAGTGATCTACACAGCATAAATAACTATAATGAGCAAATAGATAAACTTGTTTCTTCGATCTTCCGGGGAGGCCCTCCTCTTGCTCCTACCTCTGTCGCAAGTGTGGTTTGTGGGGACGAGGAAGAGGGCCTTCTCTGTGGTGGTCCCTCGGCTCTGGAACTCGCTACCTAGGGAGATTAGGCAAGAACCCACCCTGGCAGTCTTCAGGAGAAGCCTAAAAAATTGGCTTTTCCAGTGTGCCTTTGAAGAATGAACAATAATTCCCAATACCATGTCCATCCCAGGGCAAAACTGTCCTTCTGATGCACCTCGCCTCATCCCTCAGTGAAGATTGACCCCATTGTCCATCTCATCTGGGTCTCCCACTAGTTACACTACTTTATTTTTCTATCTCATCCAGGGGTTTTATAATATTACCCTTTGCATTTGGCCCAGCCCACTATGGGCAGCAGCCAGGATGTTAACCGGGGCTCATTACAGAGAGAGGTCAACCCTCCTGTTTAAGGAGCTCCACTGGCTGCCGTTTATTTTCCGAGCCCAATTTAAGGTGCAGGTGCTTACCTACAAAGCCCTGAACGGTTTGGGACCACCCTACCTGCGTGACCGTATCGCTGTCTACGAACCCACACGCTCACTCTCGGTCATCTGGAGAGGCCCTGCTCGTGATCCCGCCCGCGTCGCAAGCGCGCTTGGTGGGGACGCGAGACAGGGCCTTTTCTGTGGTGGCCCCCCGACTCTGGAACGCCCTCCCGAAAGATCTCAGACAAGCCCCTACATTGGCAGTCTTCAGAAAGAAATTGAAAACCTGGCTGTTCCGATGTGCCTTTTCAGATTAGGAACCTCCAGCACCAAATCCTAGAAACACCTTAGTAGAACCAAGATCACTGCACACTGCACACCGCACTTATATTATAATCCTACATTCCTCCCGCCACATCAGCACTTTTAATCCTGTACCCCTACTCCGGCCGGCCCAGTTTTAATAGTGTCTTGTTGTATTGTTACTGTTATTGTTTTCCTGCTTAACTGTTTTTAATTTGCTTTAGGTATTGTATTGTTGTATTGTGTTTTGGGCCTGTGTAAGCCGCATCGAATCCCTTGGGAGATGCTAGCGGGGTACAAATAAAGTTATATAATATGTTTAATTCTTTTATCATTTTATATCTTATGTTTATTCCATTGTATTATTTTGTTATTGTTTGCACTTTATTTGATGTTATTATCTGTTGTATGTATTGTATTTTGCTTTATTGTAATCCTTGGGCTTGGCCTCATGTTAGCTGCCCAAAGTCCCCTTGGGGAGATGGTGGCGGAGTATAAATAAAGTTGTTGTTGTTGTTGTTATTCAGAACCCCAGAGAGATGTTACCAATCACTAAAAATATATATTTACTAGTGTGTTTTTGACCAAGTACACAATTACCAAAGGAGGGTAAATCATACCATACTAGTGGGGGCTGAAGGGTCCAAGGCCCTTCAGCCCCCACTAGTATTAAAAAATATTGCCTCTCACTAAGACACTGTGTCCCTCAATGCCTGAGAGACACGCTTCTACTATAACACTATGTAACAAAATATGAAAAAAAATGTTACTGGTTCGAAAGTGTTATTTCCTATTTAATTGTGTGGTACTTACATTGAAAGTAGTTGTACTCCAAAAACCTTTTTTTTTTGTGGCTGCCACAAACTGTTGAATTGGTTGAGACTCTGTGAGATATTCATTGAAAAACTACAGCAAAATGTGCTGCGAGATGTCCCGCAAAAACATTTTTTTTGCAGTTTAATAATTTTTTCCATGTTTTATGATGGAACCAATTATGAAATGACATGTATAACTCAAGAACAAAAATCGTGTTACAAAGTGTAATAAATGTAAAGGAGGGTTTTGGCCATTGTTTCGGTTAAAAAAAAGGAAGTGACCTTGCCATAATACCATCGACAAATATAGAACAGAATCAATGCAATCCAAGTAAATGCCATCAATAGTTTATCTTTACTGTCCTCAAGACTGATTAAGAATTTTAATAGATTTTTTTGAGGCTTCAATACTCCCGAATCAAACAGAATGCTGGTATTCCTCATGATTTATTTGCTTAGTTTATGAACTCGCTGTGTTTGTAACGAAATTACCTCTGCATCCTGTTCACGAAGGTGGTAGGTCTTCTGTAAGCACTCCAGTGTTTTTGAACATAATGTCTTCTTTTCCAAGAGGCATTCCAGAAGTAATACTAGCTGGTCTGAGGAAAGCTAAAAGAAAACAAATAACATGTGTGAGATTGAAATATACATCTCTATCTAAATCTACTTTCTGCTGAAGTGTATAATTTGCTAGACTAACCTTCCCTGAATGCCTGCCTCCCAAATGTGCTAGGCTCCAACTTCCATGGCATGATGGGAATTGGAGTCCACCCAGATGGGTTTGGGGTTGGGAAAATCTGCTATCATCACAACCTCATTATTGAATGCTGGACTAAACTATGACTAATCTGAAACAACACAGATAATAATATCAAGTGTGTGGAATATCAGAACATTATTTTCCAGTTCATCGCTGTTAAAAATCTGTACTCTACTATCTGTACTCTAAAAGACTCCTTCCCATAAGCTAATGAAGACTAAATTATCATGGCTTCCTATTCTATATTTAGATAAGATCAAAGTCACATTTAGAGCTATAAAAAGTACTTAAGAATTTATGGGGCTCCATACTTTATGGAATACATATGTAGACTGACTCTATCTTGATAGAGATAGAAACAAAAGTAGTAGTTTTAGTAAATCCCTTTTTGGTGGTCCAAGCAAATATAAGATTGCAGAACTACTATGGGGAGTTGTCATTATTATGTCTGTCTCCCTGAAAAATGTTAACTGGGTGGCAGGCACAAGCATATTGCGACAGCAGATTCCTAGTGCAAAATTATCAAAGTCCTTGTTCAAAAATGACACAGTAATGTAATATTTGATGCCTGCCTATGCTTATCTATATCTTCATTTGCACTTTTTATGGTACAATCCTATACATGTTTATTCTGAGACAAGCCCCACTTAAAGATAAAGTGTATGAAGGATTGCGGCCTTACTGTATTGATCACAACTATTAAGGTTCAATGACAAGTAATTTGTAGATTTAAATGTGTATTCAAAATAGAAGTTTGGTATTCCACAGTAATCCTGATTGTTGTTTCAGATGTATTGAAAACAACTGCTAAAACTCTTACAGATCTTTCAATGGGACGATTTCTCCTATTGCACCCAAACTTTTGTTTTATTTTTGTATTGGGGTCAAATTGCTGGCAAAAAAGAATGCTGACTGATTGCATTTGAATTCAGGCTGACTGCATTAAGTACAGATACTCAGATTAACCGACCCACAATCCTGCTGCAACTGTAAACTTAATGCCATTTTATTGAATCACATTCCATTTATGAGTACAATTCCAGTTGGAACGCCCAACTGTTAAACCTGCTGAATATCCAAAACAAATCTAAACACAAGGTCCACTTCCCAGATTCTTGGCATACCCTTGTCTAGCTTTTGTTTTGTTTTCTGCACAATTAGCACCAAATTCACAGAAACTGAAATAGGAGAGGGTGGACAAGGGAAGCGGAACATGCCATGGCAGAAACAGATGGACTGGAACACCCACCATTTTTCAAGAAAGAACCAACTCCTGTACACACACAGGTCCCACAGACTCCACCAAGAATCTTTTAAAATGCCTACTGCTATTGAGAGAAACTAACAAAAAGGACTGGTTGTTAGATCAGTCCTGCAATGTACTGCCTTCAACATTCTGCTCCCTAAAACACTGTGATTGCAGAGTCTTGGTAAGGTAGCGGTTTCCCTTGACATTAAGTCTAGTCGGGTCTGACACTGGGGGGTGGTGCTCATCTCAATTTCTAAGCCAAAGAGCTGGCCTTGTCCGTGGATGCCTCTTAGGTAATGTACCTATTGATCTACTCATATTTGCTAGGGGCTAACAATGAGAGCTCTCCCCGTCCCATGGACTTGAACCACAGATCTTTTGGACAGCAAGTTCTACAGCTTAGTGGTTTAACACACTGCACCACCGCAGTCCAGATATGTAAATTTTGGTAACTCCGACAGAAAGTAAGAAGTCCCAGACACAAAACTGTTGTCATGCACATGCCCCCGTTTGCCTGCTCTTCTTATAGGGAAATTTTGGACCTTATCATACAGTTCTCTGACACCCTGTCTCTGTCTCCTGGTGCCTACAGGTCTCATCGCATGACTTATCACACAGTCTTCTAACCTATCTCTATCTACTGGTGACTACAGGTCGCATCACATGACGCAGTATCAGTTTCATAGATAACCCATAGGCACCCATAGGCAAAGGATCTGTCACCAATATCCTTTGTAAAATTGAAAACAATTGATTCCACTCATCTTTCATTTCTCAGGATGCGCCAGAGGTGCTTTTTTGAGGGGGGTGAGAGGTTATGATGGTATACACATCTGCAGATTGACCTCTGTGTCAGTGATGTGTCTTTCAGGGAATTTTTTGGGGTTGGTCTTGTGATGCCATTCAATTTGTCTTTTCATTTCACTTCTAGCGGCAATTGGTGAATTCCAGTAATTAAACCAATTAATATTTTCTGCTTTACCTCTTTTCTTTTCTTTTCTTTTCTTTTTTAAATTTTGGAACAGCATAGGTTTGGAGTATGGAACATATATTATTGTGTTTCTCTACTGGCATGAATGAGCAGTGTTGCGTAGCGGTGCAAGATCCACCCCCAAAAATGTTTTTTTTTTAAAGGGAATGATAGTGATGTAGGGAGACATCAGATGGATTGGGAGGAGTCATTCCTTAGCTGTGTGGTGTCAAACATGCATTATTATAGTTGATATGGAAAGAAGAAAAGTGGGTGTGATGGGATGGGTATGTATCCAATCCTCATCTAGCCTTCTTTAACCATAGGTTGCTACTTAAAGGCATTTCTGTGGTGAATGTGATAAGGTACCTTGAGGAGGAACATTCCAAGTACTGGTGGCATGCTCTTTCAGTGTCTCTGTGACTAAGGACTGTTCAGATCCATATCTGATCCACGTTGAAAAGTACAGCTTCAGTGTGAACATGCCCTCAACCTGTTACTACATCAGCCCAATTCAGCTGAGGAGTCACCCAAATGTAAAGTGGATCATGTTCCTTCAATGTCCTAAACAAATTGTGACAGAGGGACAATATGGAACCCATGAAACCAATGTTTGGAAGAAAGGGCTTTTTGTTGTTGTTTTTATCATTTGTTTAACAGCTCTCATCAGTTTTTCATTTAATTACTAGTCTCTTGGATGTTTTAAAAAGCTGTTAACACTTTTTATTTCCATAGGCTGCATTCCAGTTCTCTTTTTAGGCAACTCAAAACACAATGAATCTACCAAAACTCCCACAAACCCTAAAATTGTCATCTAAAACACATGTCATGAAGCACTCTTATGCTTACTGTTTCTAGAATTCTGATAAATAGTAATTTTTCATTTATTTTGTAGCCTGCGGTCATGTACTGAGTTACTCTTGCTTATTCGCTTCTCTAAAATACTCCAAAATTGCAGAATGGGTACAGATTGCAGAATTAGCAGTTACTTTGGTTCTCTGCATATCTTTTAAAACATAATTTTATTGCATACAAACACAAAAATAATAGAAAAAAGAGGAGGAAAATAAGAAGCACACACAGCCATATAACCCAGAATATCAAGGTAGAAAATCCCACAATATCTGCTTTGAATTGGGTTACCTGAGTCCACACTGCCATATATCCCAGTTCAAAGCAGATAATGTGGGATTTGGCTGTGTGAAAGGGGCCTAAGGCTGGATCTACACTGTCATATGGTGCAGGTTCAGAATGCAGATTAACTACATTGGACTGAATATCTCATATTATACAGTTGAATGTAGTTAATCTGCACTCTGAAACTGCTTTACATGGCAGCGTAGATCCAGCCTAAAACTCAAAACTCACCTCCAAACAATCGCTACTCTACCCTCCCTTCACCAAAGTGTTAAATGTGGACTTCCAATCCCAACAGTAAAAACATCAATGACAAAAGTACAATAAACTTCTCATCACTCCTTAACTTTGAGTGTCCTTTCTAAGGGACAATTCATACAACTATTTCAGCACATGGCAGCTGCCTGTGAATCCCAGCCCATGTTGACTTCCAGCTGCCTCGGCCTAAGCTGAGCGTCTCCCAGGCACATGCCGCCATACATTTCAACACGGTTCCTCATGCCAAAAGTCAAATTAAATATTGTGATGCACAGGTGTGCTAGGTTTGGCATGGATTGAAGCAACTTGTCTCGTCACAGTCTTGGTTTTCAAGAGAAGTTATGAGCCAAAGTGGTCATATGAAACTGACCTTGACTTATTGCATTTATGTGGCAATATTTAGCAAGATGCTTACACTTAAAACACATTCCTCAGATGCATTAGTAAATATCTGCAAATTAAATGGCTGTCTGAAATTGCATCTTGAAGTCTTTTTAGTAAGACTTCAAACTTAAGGTGCATCAGTTTGACACCACTTTAATGGCTAAGCAGTGGTTCTCAACCTGCGGGTCTCCAGATGTTTTGGCCTTCAACTCCCAGAAAACCTAACAGCTGGTAAACTGGGTGGGATTTCTGGAAGTTGTAGGCCAAAACACCTGGGGACCCACAGGTTGAGAACCATTGTGCTAAACCTTAATGCTATGGAATCATGGGAGTCATAGTTTGTCGAGGCAGTAGAGCAGGCATCCTCAAACTGTGGTCTTCCAGGTGTTTGGGCTTCACACTTGCAGAATTCCTGACCATTGAAAAAGTTGGCTAGGACTTTTGGGAGTTGAAGGCCAAAACAGCTGGAGTGCCACACTAGAGAAAAATATATCTACAACTCCCATGGTTCCATAATATTAAGCCATGGCAATTAAACCGCATGAACTCTACAGTGTAGATTCACTTTTAGTGAAATTTCATTCTTCGTAATCACTTAGGATCATGAAGGAATGTATTGAAAAACTTGTTCTTTGAATGAAAAACTTTTTAAAAAACCCCAAACTAACAAGTCTGCGTTAAATCCAGCCACATCCATTTCCCCAGCCTCGCCTCACCCACTTCATCCCAAGTGATTAGCAGATACCTCAACATCCACAGAGTGGAGGGGGAAGTATTAGTTAAAAACCAGAAAGAACTTCTGGGAAATGTCCACTTTAGTCTGTAAATCAGATTTCAAATGTAACATAACA